GGGGAGGAGTTCCATAACGCGCTGCGCACTGGATTCAGGTCGAAGTTCTGGTGAGTGGCGGCGGATGAACAAGATCCAGGGCGGGGGAGTGTGCACAGGGGCAAGCGTACCGAAATGTTCACAGCACGCCATTAAACAAGAGTGCATGCCTCGGGGGCAGGCCACACGGCTGGCATTGAAGCAGACGAACATCTTGGAGGCGAGCCATCCCATATGCGGGCGGCCTGATTTTTTGTTTTGCTTCCCCCGATCGGTCGACGTTTCGTGTCACCCTTTTCCTTTTTTCATTTCTCGCACGGCTGTCATTTTGTGCCCCTTGGTATATTAAAATCACAATCAGTCTCAGCCCGGCCCTCTTTGGCTAACTGAAAGGCCAGAAGAACAAAAAAAAAATCCAAAACATTTTTTTTGGTGGGTGGGCCTCGGACAAGCAAAAAAAATGAAGAAAAAAAGGACCTCCCACACCAACATCCACCGGGACATCCAGGTGCGTACAGTCGGGACTAGAATCCAGACGTCCAGATTATAGCCGTGCTTTTGATTTATTTTCTGTTTTTTTCCGGATACCTCGTCCAACCTGCTCAGCCCAGGCCGCCCCAAGGGGCCCGGCCAATATGCATTTAAGTTTTTGACGATTTGGACTTCACAGCAAAGGTTTACATCGGCCCGAAAGTTACAAATCCCCTTAAGCTTTTTTTTTCACCTTCATTGCAGTGAATGAGAAGTAAATTCAGGGGAACACAGTTTCCCCTCTGACACACCACTTACCCTGCTTTGGCCGCATTTACTCTGTCACAAAACGAATCTACTGTAAAACACACACACACACACACACACGCACACACACACACACACACACACACACACATACACGCACACGACCTTGCATGTGCTGCGGAAAGTCCGGCTGAACATCTGACAAAACATGAAATGCCATGCTTTGTTTCTGCCGTTTTCATGCTGACGAGGGTCTGAAGATCTTGACCGGCATACAGAAATTTTGCACTCCACAAGCTGCTGCAAAGATTTATTTTGCACGCTGCAAGTTACTGCAAAGATTTCTTAACTTCACAAGGAGCACCTAGCTCGCTTGCAGAGACTCGTAACAGGCTGACTGGCAAAATGCCACTGCCTTAGGTTTCCGGACCCAGTTCCCTCTCAAAAGCATCACGGTGACGAAACAACAAACAAACATCTGCTGCACAAGCAGTGGACATCTTCATCCCACCGTCAACATCCACTGAGATCTCGGTCCAAAGGTAAACCATCCACGTACCTACATCTCCAAATCCATTGCTGCACACGGCGGCCACCATCTGTTGGCATCCTCAGTTTACAGTTGACATTCAGCCAACGGTCAAGCATCCAAATTCATCTCCCCTCTCCGTGCAGCACTTCACACACTGACATGTATATTTTTGATACAGCAGCAGCTGGCATCGACTGACATCCACTGATATCCTGATTTCACAGTGGGCGTTGGACCTCACTCCACTACCCACCAATCATGCAAAAGGAGAATGAATTCTCCGCTAGATCATGGAAACATACACCACCATAATTTTTGACTCTTTTGTGCATGTGGAGAGTAGTGGGGAAAGGCCCATTCACCGACATCCTGACTCAGCAGTCAACATCCCACCAACATTGAGATTCAGCGGTGCGATCCACTTGTGTCAGCTAAGTGAGAAGTAGCGAAGGGCCCTGCTATATCCAAAATAATGCATTGGGTGGATGCCTTGGCATTGAGGAAGAAAGGACGCAATGAAAGGCGAAACGCCATGGGGAGAAGCTCTCGGTCCAGCAATGGACTCGCGATCCACTTGTGTCAGCTGCTCCAGCAAGGGACTCGACCTTCATCCGCATCTTCATCCAAAAATAGCAGAGCACTGCTTTCTCTACATTTCTAAGCGAAGAAAGGAAAAATTGTGCCCACGGAAATCAACACAGAGGAAGAAAAGCCACTCATATTGATGCACCATCCACACCAGCAAAGCGAAAAGCCAATCCCTCTTTAGAAATCCACATACTAACAAGCACGACATGTGGCAAAGACTGCAAATCTTGAAGCTGATATATGATGTAACTTACCGTCCGTCCATGTCAAACATTTTCAGTTCGGCAGTCGCAGCCCGCATCCATCCAAAGCGGCAAACCCAATGCCTTGCCAATGGGCATTCGGAGAGACCGTTGATCCAACGGCAGTGAAACTCAATGCCTTTGCGAGGGGAACCGGTGCTCCGCATCACACGCATACAGATGAGCATCCGCAGTCCACATTCGAAGGGGCACACCTTAATGAGGTGGACTTGAGAGAGTATTCAACCAAAAGTTGTGGGACTCGGTGGCTTAGCAATGCGGATTTTTTTGAGAGAGCATGTTCATCCAAGGTCCTTGCAACTGTGTAAGGTGCACAGCACATGCATCCACAGGTTAGGAACTTAGGAGAGATCTCCAGGCAAAATTACATTACAAAACAAAAAAAAACAAAAACAAAAAAAAAACAAAAAAAAAAAAAGAAAAAGCATCGACAATGTTCCCTTGTGATATCCCCTACAACCAACCATGAAACAAGTAAACAAAAAAAAAAAAAACAGGGGGGGAAAAAAAAATCCACCGACAATGTTCCCTTGTGATATCCCCAACCACAAACAAGTAGAGCAAGAACAGCTGGCCACCCAGCATCAAAGCTCAGCAAAGACATATACCGCCAATCCAATGTTCTCTCATCCAGGAGCGTGTCCCTTTCTCTGTCTTTTACTTTATTTTAAAGAAGGGTTATCTGATCCAGGCACAACTGCCACACCAAGATTTAGTTGCACAAGTATTAACTCCATGGAGAAAATTAACATACCCCTACTCAACTAATAGTATCAAACATCGATGAACGACCCTCGCCTTCCGCTATTTCCATGCCAGGGAGAAAACATCAAACATGTTTCCGCTGGAGAACAGGAACATGCACCACACATACGGACGGGCAAAGGAGGAAAGACTGCCGAGACCATTGCGTCTATTCGACTCTATTGCAAACCTCAGAGATGCAAATAATATTTGTGGGCAGGAGGTGTCGAGGTGTCCAAAATGTTCCTTGGTAAATGGCGTATCCACTCCTGCTTTGGGATGCGCAGATTCGTAGAACGTCTGACCCAACGCTGCTCAACTGCGCATGTCTGAAATATAAAATGAACACTTCCCAACCAAAGTCGCAGATTCATCACAGACCTGACGCTACTCAACTGCGCGTGTCTAAAATATAAAATGAACATTTCCCTACCAATTGTCTAACTTCTAAAAGATTCGGAAAGAACCTCGCGCACCTGTACCGCGGTGTTAAGCTTACGCTAATATAATTCTTCGTTCGAAACAACACTCACCTTCAAAAACACATTGTGCGTGTTCATCTCCTACACAGCTCTACACACTCTGCAAAAATGAGGCAAGGTGGAGGCCAACAAACCATGACGCCCTGCCATATTACCCATGGCAGAGGGGGGCCAACAACCATGACGCCCTGCCATTACCCAGGGCAGGCATCCAATAAAACAACAACAACAACAACAATAACCTTTGAAGCGCCCTCCTTCTATCCATACCAACCTGACTGAAGGCCACCGCAGGATCTCTGTAGGAACTACGATGAATAATGACAATTGCCAAAAAAAATGTGGCACAAAGGCTTCCCTTTGTGATTGGACAGTCCCAGCACAATCCTGGTACTCTATCGAAGATGGGTCATCGCTCCAAAACTGTTGGGCCCAGCCTTCAGAATTCTGTCATCAATTCGGCGCGTTTCTCCCCAAGCTTCGTAGACCTCGGCACTTCTTGAAGTTCTTACTTATCAATTGGCCCAGCTTCTTGAGAGTTGCATCCCGTTGTGATTGGACAGTCCTCATGAATCCTCGCACTCTCTCGAAGGCGGGTCGTCACTTCAACTGTGGCCCGGCCTTCAGAATTCTGTCATCAATCCGGCGTGTTTCTCCCCCGGCCTCATAGACCTCGAACTTCTCAAAGTTATTACTGAACAATTGACCCAGCTTCTTGAGAGTTGCATGATATGCGTCCTTGTCTTTCCACTGCACGCCCACATAAACACACGCAACGGCCACATAAACACACACACAACCCGAGAGTATCACATGAGAATAATGAAACGAAATGTAAACCAGAAATGCAAATCCAGAAACAACACATACTCGTAAATCGTCTGGGCGCCTACCGGTCGGGCCAACCCTTAGGCGGTCTGCCTTGAGCTTATTTTTTCTTTCCCGAGTACATGGCTGTTCTGCGCCTGAACAGCCCAAATTGTTTTGGCGCGGTGCAGGGCGGGTGGGGTGAGGGGGGGGGTAAGGGGGGTTGGGGGGTGTTGGGGGGTATTCCAGGGCTGTTTGGGGGGTTCTGTGGAGGGTCAGGGGGTGTTTTGGGGGTTCTCTGGGAGTTGGAGTGTTCGGGAAGGCCGACAGGGGGTGTTTGGGGGCTTCAAGAACAGAAGTAAAGAGGGGGTGTTTGGGGGGTTCGAGAACAGAAGTAAAGAGGGGAGCCAACGCACAGCTAGACACCGACGCTCGACAGAAGCGGAAGCAGCAAAACGGTGTGGAGTGCTGCTCTGCTCTCACTTTTGTGGAGCCTATGAAGCTTCCCACGGCCAGGCCTCTCCTGAAAGTCAGTCGGTGAGGCTGACGGCACACGACGGGACCGGTAGGACCCCCGTCAATTTTTTTTTTCCCAACTGCGGAGTGCCTACCGGTAGGCACCAGTGGCGCCTACCGTAGGCAGGTCCGCCCCTATCCTGAGACTCTCAAGGATGTTAAATGATTGATTTCTAGTGAATAATAATTGCATAAAATATTCATTAGAAATATGAACTTAGTATAAAATAGATATGGAAGTTCACTTAATCGCGGAGAGTTAGCAAGGCCGTGGCATGTAAGCAACATCATGGGCATGTGATATATACCGTCACCAGAACACCCCTTTTGGAAAAGCCAGATGAGCAGATCTGAAATTGAAACAGCCTTACCTAAGCTACCTCATAATCTTTCTTATCAAGTTGTATGTGGTACTTTCAATGATTGTAATATTTTGAAAAAAAATGCTAACGTTTTATGAAGCGGCCATTTCACTGTCGTATTCTACATGCTCCTAGGCCCACCATGTCTGTGTACTTAAGATGGGATGCGTACACACCCCTGCAACCCTTAAGCACACCTTCACCTTGTATTTCCTGTCCTCTTCATGGTGCTCATTTGCATGCACTTAGTTCTACAAAAGGGGGGGGGGGGAAGAAAACAATTGACCAAGGAGAGGAGCAAAGGAAAGATGCATCCTCAAAACTCACCAGCAGAGCATACTGCTCGGTCAAGGGTCGGGTTATAGAGAAAAAGGAGCTGAGGGCCAGGGAGTCCCTGTTGTAAGTGCAGATAAGGAACCGGTTCGGGTTGCCCTGTGCAAGCACCAGCGCCATGAAGGCTGCTCTCCGATCGGGTTACAGATAAAAAGCCGGTGAGCACCAGAGGAGCGTTGTATAGACAGATATCAAGGCTGCTGTGTCTGCTGCTCATCTAGCAGGGATGTGCACGTGTGTGAGTGTGTGCCTTCTCAATGTCTCAGAGCGACCACAGTGCATCCTTCTAACATGACTTTGGCAAGCCGACCAATGCGAGGGCCGAAGGTGCATCTTGAAGGCTGCTCTCGGATCACCTACCGGATCTTTCAGTAGTGTTTGTTTCCGCAACCTGCGGTGGCAGTTGCCCTCTCTATCGACGACCCTCTATCAGCAATGCTTCAGTCACATTACAAACTTGTCCAGTCTTCAGTCACATTACAAATTTGTCCAGTCTCCCTAGTCCAGATTATGCAAACTCTTTCTCCACCACTGCTACTTCTAACAAATTCCACATTGAATATGAGCAGGAAACAGATCAGGCTTGTCAACTTCGAATTTCGAAATCTTTTCTCTTTTTTTTTCTGAGCTCTTCCTTCACCTGGCTGTGTTCTCTCACCTGATTAACTGGATTGAGAATTTCCGGTGGTACACCCTTGCACGCCACCGGGGCTTGCAGATTGAAGATCGGAATTGTTGTGCAGGCAACGTCCTTGAGGGACCCATCGTGAATGGCATCAATAATTGCTCGGGTGTGAGAGAGCTTCATGCGGTGTCCCTCGCCATAACTGCAATTAACAAGACCAGCATCGCCGACCAAATTTGTCAGCCAGAACCGCCAATTTACACCACGCATATAAAACACAGCTTTTTAGACCCAATCTGGCACTAACTCGGGTTTAAGATGGTTAAACAAACATCCAGGAAACTAATACCATAGCCATTCTGTTAATCAACAGCTGCATAACAAAACTTCACAGCAACAACGAGCTCGGCCAAGGTAGAAAAACATTATTGCTTGATCAGGATAGAGATACAAAGAGCACGTCCTTTTGCCGATCTACTGGATCCATATGGTAGTCCCGTCTTCGGAGAACATCCGGCTTCAGACTGCTACTAAAACGAAAGACCGGCCACTCAGAATGCTACTAAAATGAAAGACCGGCCACTCCTTCAGGACATGTGCAACAATAAAGAGAGAGAGAGAGAGAGAGAGAGAGAGAGAGAGAGAGAGAGAGAGAGAGAGAGAGAGAGAGAGAGAGAGAGAGAGAGAGAAGAGAAGATTACCATGGCATCTGTGCAAACAACCATGGTGCACACAAATCAAGCAAGCAATTTTCCAAGCAGACACCGGATCAAAAACAATAACAGAATCGCCAAGGCAATAGTAACCGGACTGACTTCTCCCCAAAATGGATATCGAGCCAGGGCCATACAAGGACCTGTTATTTGGGGGGGGGGGGGAAGAAAAACAATAACAAAGAAGAGCGGTTAGAGAGAGGCAGAGATACCCAGATTCTTTCTGGAAGTTGGGAGTTTCTCTCAGATGTAAAACAGGAAACACGAAAGACCAGAACCACAACTCCGGCATTTTTTTTTCTTTGGCTTTTTTTTTTTTTTTATAGGACCAGTGGCCAGCAGTGTTGCATACCCCGACGGTCGGGGGCCCTTGACTGGTCGGCTGGTCGGCACTCCACAAAAAAAAAAAAAAAGGGTCCAGAACACCCCCCTATAACCCCCTCCAACCCCCCCATACCTCCCCCCATCCCCAAAAATTTCTCAACGGATTTGGGCTGTACTCAGCAAGTGCAGTACAGAGCCCGACTCAGATAAAAAATAAGTGGATGGTTGTTTTCTGAATGGGGTGGCAGCAGACCGCAGCAGACCGCCGACCAGTCAGCCCTACTGGTCGGCTGCAATACGTTCGGCGGTCGGCAGGTATGCAACCCTGTTGAGCAGGAAAAAAAGCAGGGGTCTACCAACCTCAACCCTCCATCTTGGGCCTGAGCCTCCCAACCTAGCCACAGACTCCAATTTTTTTCTTTTTCTTGCTATTATTTTTTCATTTGCCAAATTCGTTCAGACTGCCGGGACTTGAGCACACTGTCAAAGTGCTAATATCAGCACCACAAGGTTACGGAACGAAAACAAAAATGCTCACCTGCCACCAGTCCAGCCAGTGTTAACCAGCCATGCTTGAGCCCCATGCCTCTGCATTCTCTCAGCCAACATGGACGCATACTTCGTTGGATGCCACATAATGAAGGCCGCACCAAAGCACGATGAAAAAGTGGCTTCTGGTTCAGTCACTCCCACCTCCGTTCCAGCAACCTGGCAATGTCCAGCATATTGCAACAAACACAAGCAACCAATAAATAAATCTTCGATTGGAAGAAATCGACTGCGATTGTCGACTGCGATTGTATGACACCTTCAGAATTCAACCAAGCCCACGATTGCACAGAGAGTCACAGTTTTTTTTTTTTTTTTTTTTTTTTTGTCAAAGACAACCCTCACCAGTGCTAGAGGTGCTGGTAAGAGCAGACACCGCTAGCAGCACAGAGAGTCACAGTACGTAAGGGATGCTGGAGAACTGCTGCCCTCCAGGCTTGAGCTTGTGGTCATGTTTTGCAGGGAAACTGCTCAGACATAACAGCCTTTTATCACTTACACGTTGCGAGTGACGAACCCAACTGCATGCAAAAACACAATACCTGAAAACCTTCCTTGCACGCATGCAAAGGAGGAGGCAGGTTACGGTACTCGAGGGATGCCAGACAACTGGTGGCCTGCGGTCTTGAGCTTGTGGTGGTCATTCGCAGGAAAACTACCCACTCGCAAACAGCCCCTTAATCACTTGCATGTTGCGAGTTGTGAGTGACCAACTGCATCCAAACAGTATCTGAAACTGTCATTGCACGCATGCAAAGGAGCCCGGCACCATTACAAGCTCCACAAGAAGGCAAGAGGACCGAGCTGACGGAACGGGTACACATAAATCATGCATCCCATCTTCAGGCGTTCCTGATTCGCAGGCATGCTTGTTCTCTTACCACGTCCCAGAAGGAGATCCCACATCAGCAAAGTGTACAGGTCAACTGCCACCCTCACCATCCATGAGGACGAGGGTCTTTTTTCTTAAATACCTTTGTTGCCAAGTACATCAACAGTCCTCCCATCAAGACATATTTGGGTCCTCTATATCCTCAACTCAATAAATGGGGGCAGTTCTCTTCATGCTCCTCAACATGACGAATCGTATACCGCAGACTGAGCTGCATTGACTCCTCAAAAAATATGTGGAGAACAGCGCTGCATAGAGGCACGCACCCATAGCCCATAGACTGACAAGTGTAGACAAGAATTTAGCTTTTAATGCCAAGCTCCATCTCCCAGGATATTCTCAAATGAATTATTAACACAAAAAAAACATCATGTACCAAGTTACAGATCTGTTTATAACTGTGATCCCAGCTGCCGACGATCATCAGGTCAGAAAACTAACCATCACGCACGCGGTGAAACTGTTGTAACCATCATAGTAATGATCATACCCATGACAAACTACCACACCACACAAATGCGACAACACTCGTTCCCCCAACTAAGAGGGAAGCCCTCAAGAAAACACATCTCAGGACATGAGAGGAACCGCACACACCAAGTTGCCCATTGACCTATGCCCCACAACTCCCAGCCTAACCCAAAAAGCCACAACAACGTCATCTACCATCCACCTACTCCAGCCTAAATAGAAACGCTTCCTAAAATGTTCCAACTCCAGCGAGCCTGGCTCAGCCACAACATGCGCCGTAGGTAGCTGTTGATTTTCATACTTAGTCACAAACGAGGTGGTGTGAGGTGTTGTCAACTGCTCAGGCAAAGCTCTATCACACAGTCACAAGTCTCTGTGCTTACATTACTATCGTCTTCACCCCAATCGAACGCCCGGTCATTATTGAAATATTTAGACCGACACATGGGATACAGCTATAATGACCGGGGATTCTATTCGGGTGATGACAATGTTTGAATACAGCTATAATGACCGGGCATTCTATTCCAGTGAAGACGATGTTCCGAAGTCTTTCGCATGCATGCCCCCCTCATTGCCTGCCCACGCAAGCCAGCAAGCAAAAGGGATATCAAATGCAGCAGTACAAAATTTGAACCACAAGACTAGATACATCAGATGACGAGGACCAGAGCAACATGACCAGAATCGCTTCTATGATATGCAAAAGGGGTTGAAGACATTCATCATGTGATGTATGAAGGCCAAGCCACCGAACACATTCATTGCCAAAATGCAAGGTGATTCAGACATCATAAGAGCTCAGTCACCTTTGCCGTGTATCCGCTGATGAAGTGGTACATGGTCTGCTCGAGGGTCAGTTTGCTAACAGGCGGAAGGACTCCGAACGCATCGCACGTCAAAAGTATGACGTTCTTTGGGTGGGGCCCTACGCAGGGTACCTTGGCATTGTGAATGTAGTTGATCGGGTAAGAGGCACGTGTGTTCTCTGTGGGACATCACATCAGAACCCGCATGCTTGCTATTAGACCAGCGGACACCACATCACAAACCACATGTTCCCTCTTTGAAGAGGGATATGACATCACAACCCGCGAATTCCAGACAACAGATGCATCAAGCCAATTGTGCCATATCATCAATCAAGATTAAACCACATACAGCCTTTTTGAAATGTTTCAAAACATCACATGACACCACCCACGACAGCAAGACGAAACCACTTAAAACACAAAATTGTTTAAACTTTAAAAACTAAATACATCACATCACAATGACAGCCACACGCACTAACTCAAGGCATGCACTAAGGCGATTATGCCAAATCATCAACGAAGATTAAATGACTTGAACGGTTTGAAGTTCCACACTCCGAAGATTTGCAATTCTTCCATCATTTTCACATCCAACAAGACATATCACATTGACATAGCAGTGATATCACATTGCACTCCCACAGCTCATCAGGTTACTACCGATTATGAAACATTGTCTGTGTTTATCTTAGTGGCCAGCTTAGTGGCCAGCTACATCTACTTGAATCTGAAATGGCAGGTATTCGCTGCTGAACAGCTACCAAACGATTCTCCCTGTACTGGGCAGAGCAATTCACCCTGTCCTATCACTGGCAGTCTGGGTGTGGCAGAGCCACCAGGCAAGATTCGCTACAAAAAGCACTCATTTTCCAATGTATGCCCGGCCACAAACATCACAGACATGATAAAAAATGAGAAAG